CATCACTAGTGGCACAGGAAGTAAAAATAGTAGGCATTATTTTCTTTTTTGTGAAGGTACTTTTGATAGGGTGAAATGAAGGCTCTAGCATCTATTTGATTTCAGCACATCGATTTTGATTTTCATTTGGTACTACTCGGAAGCACGATGCTATGTGTTATACAGGGTGACTTCGAAGTTGAGTCATTTATTTTAACAGTGAGTAGATCTGATCAAAAGAAATGTTTTTTTCCTTTACCATTTTTCTGGTAAAATTAAAGTAACAAAGTTATAGCCCTTTGGAAGTTTGAGTACCGCCCTGTCTCAATAATAATATTATGTGCTCGTGTTTGGCAACAACGGATATAATCCGCCTTATCGGTTCATCGCATCGGAAACAAAAAAGCCAAAGAATTTGGAACGATGTTTTTACAATTATTTTATTCAGTTGTATACAGTCAGTGTCAGTCGGTAACGCATGAGTGAATAGTGGTGTCTGTTGCGTGGCTCAAACGAAATCAAAAATGGCACATGTTTACGAAAATGCTGAACTTGTGGACATGATTCTTATTTACGCGGCATCACGGATTTATGCGGATCGGTTTCCCAATCGAGTGCAACCAACCCCTCGTGTCTTTGTTAATGTAGTACAAAGGGCTCGTGAATCAGGTGACTTAAGACCTCACAGGGGAGTGGATGCCGGTGCTCCAAGACCGCACGATCAAATACAGGTCCGCACTGAAATACTTGTCGGGAGGATACTTTATAAAACAAGGTAACATTTTTTTTATTTTTACACACATATTTTGGTTTATCTTCCTTCTACAATCATTATCTGAAAATTAATGACTCAACTTCAAAGTCAACCTGTATGCACACGAGTTATCTTTCATCTATTATTGGAAACATAAATGATGAATTTATAAATTCACTATATTGGCTTCACTTGAAACCAATGAGTCAAACCAGTTTATCAATGGTTGAGACAGCTCTTGGTTATTTGTGTTTTCCTCCAAGGCAATATCGATATAGTGCCCTTGTAATATCCCACAGCCGTCGCCGGAGCCTCGTTATCTCATGTTCAAATCAAATCATTACTATCACATAGAGGTGCCAGCAAGCTAGTGTGGTGACCAGACCCGATAACGGTTCCACTGAGATTTCTGTCTAAACACAGTGTATCTCCATAATAGTACTTCCCATGCACTCCCAAGATTAATGATTTTGCTTGTCAGAGGTGTCAGGAGATATTTCTCCTTCGCAGTGCTTTTATATTCTAGTGATGTTTGTGGTAGGCCAAACACTTGCATCAGATCAGATCAAAAGCATCTTTATTGAATATTCTAATTGTAGAATTTTGGAATCGGTAGATCTCCCTCTTCTGTCTTTTCAATGTGTCAATCTTTTGCTGATCCTTCTGTTGGCGCTTTGTATATTATAACGAAAACATCATGTTTACTGTCCAGAGACTAATTCGTCAGTTTCAATAACTAATTTGTAACACTTGAAACTAGTTTATAACAAATATATAGCTATGTCGACTGGACTGAATCTGACTCCTTCCGCCATCTGGTCGGATATTTAGGTGGTGATCGACGGTTCCCCATCCACGAAACAGTGTTATTGGTTACAGTTACGAAGACGGAAAACGATGTAAACGTTATGATAGTCATTATTTAAATGGATGATAGAGGGGGTAAAAAGAAGCAAAAAGTTTCTTATAACACGGGGGTCAAAACGTCATTTTTTTAAAGAAATGCGACTTTAAAGTAAAATAAAATCTGGCAACCCCGCAATGCCAGACGGAAATTAAGACGGAACGCAGTGTAAATAAAGATGGAGTTTGTTATTTTTGGCTCTTAGGTATTATTTCATTAATTGATAACGTACTCGTAAAATCAAAACAAATAAAAAAACGGACTTACTACTAACTGTTTTAGCGCTTCACCTGGTGTGTGAAAGTTTATCGAAAAATCCACTTATAAATAGGGAACACAATTTTGATACATACATTGTTTTTCTTTTTAAAACCCACACTGCACTTTTTTGTATTTAAAGAAGGTGTTCAAAATGTCGTCCTCCACTTTCCACACAAGCTTCATTACGACGAACCCAGTTTCTTCTTACTCTAGGTCCTTGAAGTTGTCCATTTATTATTTCAGCCGAATTAAATTTTTTTTCGCGAAGTTGTGCTTCAGTTCTTATTGGACCAGCCCCATAAACCATCCCTTTAAGTTCTCCCCAATACTAGAAATCCATCGGATTGAGTTCAGGAGATCTTGCTGGCCATTTTCGGGGATCGGGAGCATTTCGGCCGATCCAGCGATTTGGTTAACGTTCATTCAAATACTGAATGACGCCTCTAAAAATGGGTTGTGGTGCCCAGTCATAAATAAACCACAGATTCTGTCTCCGTTGTAATGGCATGTTGTCTAAGGTCTGTTCCAAAAGTTCTGGTAGGTTATTGGTTAGAAATCTAAGGTATCCTTTTCCTGACAACTTTCGGGGTAACTCGAAAGGGTCAGTTACCTGATAGTCAAGAATACCCCCCCAAATATTTATTTTAAAACGTTGTTGGAAATGACCTTCACGAATGGTATGAGGATTTTCTTGGGCCCACGTGTGAGTATTATGGAAATTTGATATCCCGTCTCGCATGGAAGATTTTCAATGGTTTTGTCGCGATAAATTTGAGATGCAAGATTTGAATTCTGACAAGCTTCACCGTAAACTAACAACATGTCGACGAACTCTTGATTCGAGAACATTGTAAATAAACACGACGACGTATGCGAACAAAAACAAAACAACTACTGTTACCGTTTGTGATCGACTGCCGGTTCGATAAGAGTGATGAAAGACCGACGCGCTGTTGTCATGTGGGTTTTAAATATTTAATTTAATGAAACTTACTTACTTACTCTCTACAAATTTTGGCTTAACTTGGAAAAACTTAGTGCCATTTATTTGTTAATTACCCAATTTAAAAACGTTTTAGATTAGATTATAAAAATTAGTAAGATTGTGGTGATTGTGGTCGATATAAAGCAATTCAAGTTGTAAATTATAAAGCCATATAGACAAAAATATATTGACTTTTGGACCATGGGTCATAAGAACTTTTTGACCTGTTTTGACCCTCCTTATTACTCATTTCAATAATGACTACCATAACGTTTACACCCTGTATACTTACAACTGTGGGTATTCAAATAACCTAACAAGTACGCTAAGACGTTAAAGAAAGTTTCTTTTATAGCTTAATATTCTGTATTTATTCGTTACTTTATGAAACTTGTAGCAAATTCAGACGGTCAATTTTCAGCTCATTGATATTGTATCACCGAAGAACTTTAGAATAACGTCTAGGCGTAGAAAACTTGCTGAATTTGCATTCGGGAGACATTTCGTGGTACATAACATATAGCAGGTGTATAACTTTCATCGCAGGTATCATGGCCAATAAGTATTTTCTAATAACCCTCGTATAACAATAATATATCCGTCACATTTTCTAGCATGTGATTTATTCAGTTTGAAAAAAGATTAAACTGGATTTCTATTTGTAGTGCCTACAGATCGACAATAATTGAGGCAGGGTATATTTAAAAGCATTCAAAGAACTTAATTAACATGTTTTGTGCGACCAGAGTTGTTTCCTTTCATTGTTAGTTGTCGACATCTGGATTATTTGCATTACCACTAGAATGTTGAAATTAAGCAAATCTGAAGTCCAAAAGATTCATACTACAGAGAAATATGAAAGGTAGGTGATTTTCGGGATCAAGTACACTAGTGGCTTTCATGATTTCATACAATGCTAACAAAACCAAGCTACCACAAGACTACAATAGTTTTATTTTTGCTGTTGTATCAATTAAAACTATTATTGATCTGTAATTGTCAGGTTATCCTTAGTATTAGTATAGTATTATTTACGGGGTTGCATGGAAGTGAGCGTTTTTTTGTTTGTACTTTTAATCCAAAAATAAAGATGCACATTATTATTATTATTATTATTATTATTATTATTTAGCTTCACAGGTATTCTGGTACTCTTGACTGACAGGCAAATTAGTATTATTATTACTGTTATTATTATTTCACTAAGAAATTAATGAACGAGAAAATAAATCCGATTCCAATGGTCGCCTGTCATACATATAATAATAATAATAATAATAATAATGTTTATTGTCACAAAATACAAGTAAATATCAAATACTGTACACAATAAACATAAAGCGCCCAAAAAAAGTTTGCACTTGTGTTTGGGTTTGTACAAAATAAAAACTAATAGTACAGTCAGTGTATGAAAAAAAAAAAACCATTAATACTGTATAATTTGGTGAATTATTATGGTAATGTCAGGAAAAATATCCAGACAATTAGAACTAAAGTAAAAGTATGGATGTTAGTGTAAGTAAAATATTATTGATTTTGATAATGATTTTTCAGATCTACAATCTCGTGGATGGAGTACCTTGGTTGTTGTAAAATCCATTTTTTTAGTTGTTTTTTAAATGATTTATTTGATTTAATTACTTGTAATGACTCTGGTATGAAGTTATAGAATTTTGGTCCCAAGAAAAACAGATATCGTTGTGTAATGGTTTTTGATGTTTGTGGAATACACATTGAATTTTGATTGAATCTTGTTGGGTAGTTATGAATGGTACGATTAAAGTATTTTGAATATTTGAAATAATGTATTAGACCACAATAAAAATAAATTTGTCTGCAATCTAATAGCTGAGCCTCCACATATAGAAAATCACTTGAGTAAGTAATCTCCCTATGGAGGATCAATTTTAGAATTAATTTTTGGATTACCTCGACCTTTTTGTAATTATTATTCATAATTCCGCCAAAATTTCGTAAAGTAATAGAGGATAAACAAGAGCATAATATAGATCATATAGATATTTCTTGTCTAGAATATCTCTGAAGTACCTGAATTTTAGAATAATACATCTCAGTCTCTTCACAAGGTACTCTGTATGGGTATCCCATTTTAAGTGTTTGTCCAAAATCACGCCTAAGTATTTTATTTTATCGGCTGACTGAATCTCTTTGAGACCACTGCTTGTATGAACTTCAAGTTTTTTAAATTGTGGTGAGAGCCTGTCGTTACAAGAAAATGCTTTATAGTGTGTTTTGTTGTAATTAATTGTCTTTCCGAAAAGAAATTTATAAATGTTTTGAAATCATGTTCGATTGTGGTTTTTAGTGTATGCCATTGGTTGCTTTCATAGAGAATAGCTGTATCATCCGCAAAACCGATAACTTTACCTGTACTACTTATTTTGAATAAATCGTTGATAAATAGATTAAATAAAATGGGTCCTAATACTGAGCCTTGAGGTACACCGTATGATATAATATGGGGTTCACTGAATGTGTTATTAATTTTGACGCACTGTGTTCGATTTGACAAATAATTTTCTATAAGTTTATATGTTATTCCCCGGAAACCTAAGTTTTCTAAAGTTGTTCATGAGTAATAGAGTCGAATGCCTTTGCCAAGTCAACAAAAACACAAGCAGTTGGTTTGCCAATATCGAGATTCGTGTATATTATATTTGTTAATTTTACAATAGCATCTTGAGCAGATTTGCCTTCGTGAAAACCATATTGCTGTTCCGCTATTAAGTTATATTTTTTTGCAAATTCGGTGAATCGTTTTTTTAACACTTTTTCGAATATTTTAGAAAAATTTGTTAAGATGGAAATTGGTCGATAGTTGATGGGTTTTTCTCTTTCTCCAGATTTAAATAATGGTTTTACCATAGCGTGTTTTAAACATGAAGGGAATATTCCTTTATTCATACAAGAATTTATCAAATATGACAGTATGCCACGTAGTTTTGTCTTTAGCATGCTAGCCCCAATACAGTCTGTTTATGATACTCTACGCTTAAGCAACCTCAAATGTGATCTCCTCATCACCTCATCACCCACAAATTAGTCCATCATAATACCCATAACATTCAGGTGATGCGTTAATGCACTGACATTAGGAAGAGTTTTCTTCTACTATTATAGGTTTAATTCTGTTTTTAGATAATTTGTTTGTAGCTCCAGGATTTCTCATCAGACTGTTCTTGCAAGACCATTCGCCATCTCACCACCAAGTATGCCTGCATGCACAGGCTGCTTCGTCTAAAGGTTTTCAATGGTCTGCCTTAATAGAGTCCGAAAATCCAGCTAACCAGGCCTTTTTTGTTTGAGCACGTCTGTGAACGAAACTATCCTATTGATCTGTTGGCCCCTTGACTCTCCCACTCCTACTGTACCTAGAATATTGTATGGTCAATTTACGATATTGAGACGATATATCTACGTGGCAGAGTCCGCTTCTAGTGTCTTTTTTTTTTTACTCAGGGCTACAGTGGTTTTTGATTGGTAAGGTGATATGCACTGAAGACCATTCAGTGATAACGGTCGAAGCGGATCTGCTATTGCTGCAATAAAAAATATTACATTTTTTATAAGAAAATCACATTTATTTTTTTGTTACCAAATAACGTTGATAACAGCCGGAGGATCCTGCTGATCAAGTAACAGCCCCATGCGATTACAATATATAAATCTGTTAGAAATACTCGAATAAAATTATAAAACAACAAAAACAGTAGAACCCCGATTATCCGAAATAATGTGGACCCAAGTGCTTTCGAATAATCAAAATGTCGGATAAAACGGATATAAGTATTTAGACTCATAATGCTTTTATTGAAAAAAGTAAATGCGTGTGTTAAGTGAGGATATACCTATATAAAGTTACGTAAAATATAAAATGTGGATAAAAACATACATATTTACGAGTATTTAGTAACAAAGGTGTGCAGCGGAGCTTGCTCCAGTTCTTTCGCGCCTCTTCCAGATGTCTTATGCTCCGGCACCTTCCCAGAAAACTGGAAATTTGCTCATGTCCAACCCATCACAAAAAAGGGATCTAAGACCTACCCTTACAACTACAGGCCTATAGCTCTGCTTTCTGTTTTAAGTAAGGTGATGGAGAGGTGCATAAATCGCGAGCTTCTGGACTACCTCGAACGTCACGGCTTGATTAGCGACAGGCAGTATGGTTTCCGGCACCAACGATCCACAGGGGACCTCCTAGCTTACGTCACTCAATTGTGGAGTAAACTCATCCAGTCTTATGGTGAGGCTCATGTCGTTGCTCTTGACATCACGATTAAGAGGGGAGGGGGGCGCACCCTCTAGCTACCTACGCCTGCCATTTTTTTATAAAAAATGGTTTTCTAATCAAATGCCATTATTTAAGAGGGCGATTTTGTATACTGCTGAATAATGGTGTAAACATTACCTTGGTAGACACTGTAATCGAGTACTTATTCACAGGATCGACAGAGACTTATAGAGGTCCCGCATTCAACGTATACGGGCGAGATAGAGGGAGGAACTCGTATGGTAGAGTGAGTGCGCGAATGAAGCATGCTCGACACCGACGACAACGAGTCTGTCAAAACCCGTGTATAGGATTTCAATTGCCATTAAGATAGATACCTAAGTAACATGCTGCGTAGCTGAAAAATGCCGTCGCTCACCATATTTGGCGTGTATTAAAGAATTGATCAAAATATACCTACGTCTGGTTATAACAGCTTAATTGGCCCCTCGTCGATAAAATGAGCATAAGCTTCCAGGCGGTACGGGCGTATGCACAAACCATTCCAGTTATTATATCGTTTGGCTCTCCAACAAACCATACATCAAAATAACAGCTTTTCAACCGCTAAATGTCGTACTAAAATTACCAATAACTCGCGGCTATGAAAAATGTATCTACATACGCTGACGGCAAAAACACAATATGCGGTCGACAAGCGAATAGCCGCAATGGTAGGTACTTACGTACTTGCACCATACTACAACAGGTGACAACCAAGGTTAACAGACAGCGCACGTGCTTTCAGCCGGTGTGTTTTGGAGTTTTTAATATGGTTTCGAGTCATTACAGTATTTCAATAATTTACTCTTTCTTTTTTTCTGCCCCCCCCCCCTTCTGTATTCTGAATTGAAGGAAAAGCCTTTAACGAATATAATAATAAAATATGTTTATTCAACAAATTATTATAGAATGGCGAAGTTCAGCCATGGGTACTCTACCACTTAAGCAGACATCACAAACCTTTAGGATAACAACATGAATCAGATAACTGTAAGCAGTAGATTAAAAATGAGTAAATATAGAATACGAAGTTACAGAAAGACTAGATCCAATAGAACGGAACTAACAAGTTCTCATTCTGCAAACGGAATCTATAACTCAATGTGCCGAGCCCAGAAAGTGTAACTTGAATGTTTACTTGAAGTTCTGCAAACTTAAGGTCTTATAGTTGGAAAATAGTTATATAACTTGACTGCATTATAAGTAAAGAAAGAGAGTAGTTTGGTTTCCCCGAGGAATCAACGAGTAAACAAACGGATTTACCAGTTTTTAAAACTCTATGCACCAATAAAACCATGGAATAATTGAATTAACTTAGAGCCGCTGCAACTCCTTGATTTTTGAAGAAAAGCTACTATACTACTGCTACTACAATTTTGACTTGCAAATCAAGTCTAGGAATACGAGGCTTTCGCACAACTTTTTATGGCACTTAAGGTTTAGAATATGACGATTAGAATATAAGAGCTCCATCTTCATACAGGGTGCGGCAAAGAGGATGGACGGTTTTAAAAAAATCATAAAATAGTTAATTTTTACTCGAAAACAAATTTATTGATGGAATCAGGTTCACAAGGAAATAGCATTTGAGATAGTCAAGTGTGGAAAATCACATCAGGCATGTGGTGGCCGAAATCGTTGATGCAGTGCTGGAGGCGTTCTTGGAAGTTCGAGTAGACTCTCTCCAACATCGCTCTCTCAACTTGGGCGACTTCCACACGAATTTCGCCCTTCAATTCGTCCAGAGTTCGGGGCTTGTTCGCGTATACTCTAGCCTTGAGGTGTCCCCATAAGAAAAAATCGCATATGAATAAATCTGGGGACCGAGGAGGCCAATGAACATCGCCAAACCTGGAAATAAGGCGACCAGGGAAGAGAGGGCGAATAACGTCCATGGATGCTCGGGCTTTGTGGGCGGTCGCCCCATCCTGCTGGAACCACACGTCGGATTGGAACACGTCGCCGTCGTAATTCAGGGAGAAAGAAGTTGGTGATCATGTCGACGTAGTGCTCTGAGTTCACGGTAACATCACGACCATTACCGCCTTCGAAAAAGTAAGGGCCAAAGATGCAAGTTTGCGATACAGCGCACCAAACCATTACTTTTGAGCTGTGCAGCGGTCTTTCGTGTAACTGTTGCGGATTTTCATTAGCCCAACAATGACAATTCTGCTGGTTAACCATGCTGTTTAGGTGAAAGTGGGCTTCGTCACTCAAACAAAATGAGGTTCTCATTTTGATCGATCAGTGCTTCCATCTCACGTGCGAAGTTCATTCGTTGTGCATAATCTCCGGGTTGTAACTGTTGCACAATGGCCAATTTGTAGTGGTGAAAGCGGAGATCCATATGCAAAATTCGCCTTACCGAACGATCACTAAAGCGAAGTGCAGCAGCATGTTTCCGGGGAGATCGAGTCGGACTGCAAAGAAAGACCAGTCGAACGCGTTCAACATTTTCAGGAGTTCGAACTGTTCGCGGAGCTCCTCTTGATCTTCTGTTGATCAATTCACCACGCCTGCGAAGTGATTCAACCCAACGAAGGATGGTGTTTCGAGAGGGAACAGCTCTATTCCGATGAATGGCTCCATAACGACAACTGGTAAAATAATGCTAGGATCTCACGAGTCAAACGGCACCCTCCCCACCTGTCTTGTAGGCGGAGGCGGAGAGTACTACCCATCCCAAAAGCGTCCGTCCCCTCTGCCGCACCCTGTATAACACGTCGGGCACAGTTAATAGATATTAGTACTTCATTGGCAGCATGTTCAGAAATAATTTTCTCACATGGCAAATATCACTGATTTTATACACATGCAGACCAATACACATAATCATCTAGATGCCATCTTGCTACACAACCGACATTTTTTCTTTTACATCTTCATAAACACTACTTGGCTTGCTGCAACAAACAATGCATGCTTGAGCGTGTTGTGTCGCTAAGACATTCCTCTCTGCCGCACCCTGTATAACTCGACTTCATGATACTATTCACATGTATGTTAAATCTAAGATTTGAATCAAATAGAACACCTAGATTCTTAGCAATATAAAAATGGAATATTAATGTCGTTGATAAATAAGGAAACTCGATTTGTGATATTGAATTTCAATATTTGGAACAGTATGGTATCGCTGAGGCCTCATCACTTTGCATGAAACACGGAGGTTACCACTGCCTTAACGCAACAGTGTCTGCAGCTCAATGTTTATTAGACAGAGTACTGTATCTTAAGCTTCTACAAGCTTCTTTTACACAGTCAAGAGGTTGGTGATGTGTCAGCGGATGTTGTAGTTCTGACATGACCATTATTGCGTCTTTGTGATGAAGATGTCGAAATTCTGGACTAACTCGCGTGAAGAGGTTTTGTTCTTATACTGAAAATTGAATCATCAAGATATTTTCAATATATTTATAGCAGATGGGGTACCTCGGTATTAAGGTCTTTGAATTCGCATTTTAGTGTTAGTAGTAGTTTTCGTGATGTGTTGTTGTTTTGTCCATCCGAATGGCAAGTGCTGTAAACTAATTCGTGATGAACGATCAAAAAATGCTAGATCGGTTTGCAGAAATTTCTCTACAGAAATGTGTCCTTAATTCATTCACACAGCTTACTGCATCCGCTAGTCTTCCACGGAGACCTTATTGGATCTTACCCAACCTGTTCAGGCAAAGAGTTGCTGTGCTGTATTACAAACAGCAATAGATGACATCCAAGGTTACCAGATGGAACACGTGATCCGGCAATATTTTAACGAGATCTCAAATTATAGTATTTAAATAACGTGTGTATGTATATCCTTATGCTTATTACCTTACCACGATACAGTAATTAGTCGCTGAAAAAGGTGGAGGTGTGATCCGTGGACCTACCTGTAATAAAAAAAGCTCCAGTTAGTGCTTGATATCCAACAAAGGCAAAAAAGAATACATATACCTATATAGGCTTCTAAAATGATAGCGCGAGGTCTTGATCTGCAGAACATGTAAGAGCAAGAAGCCTCGTTTTGAGTTGTCAACTGATGCTGTTTTTATCGTGAATTATCGCCGACTGTTAAAATATGTAACTACATCGCAAAACTTCTATTTTTCAGTGCACAAGGCTGTATTGTTACTTCCTACACCAATTGGAAGGTACATATGTATTGTAATCGCGAAAATATTTGAAATTGAGATAATAGATGCGTTAGTTTTGCAAGTGACAAAGTTGCAAAGTTCGAAAATAAAAGCTGGAGCTAACGTTAATCAGAACATAACCTGACAAATGATATTTTTACTTCGAACGCCATTGGTGAGGAAATACCTATTACAAAAATCACGAAATGCCACTCATTATCGTCGGCCTGCCTGCCTCTGTCGATCTGTTTGTCCGTCCGCTAATCCTTTGCCATCTATAACTTGGAAAAGAATGTTCACGCAAGCTTAAAACTATGCCAAGGACGAAAAAAGCTTTGTATTTTTGAAGATCGAATAGTGGCGGCAAAGCTAGAGGAAGCTTCTTTTTTTGACGTTTCAGAAGCTCCTGATCATTTTCAGAAAAAATATTTAGGGGTTGATAATTGTAAGTTTGAGTTTGAAGGGGGTGGAAGGTTGTAAATGTTGCATCAGTGACAAGCTTCTGGACCAGGTAATAACGGAACATTTAAATGACAAAGATCCGATAAATACTGTGCTCACAATTCCAAATAATATCTGCAATGGTTGGATGCACGATCCTTTAACGCTCCGATGATATGACAACGTTCATGCTGTTATCCGCACGTATCTTGAGAAGCGACATTATACGTTTTTTTTACATAATATAGCTTTTTTGTGACATTGTAACGGTTTCACCGTCCGATCGTATTTATTAAATCACTTCTCGATTATCATTTCATTAATCCCATCTCTAGCTTTTTTGCTTGGAAAATTTTCCGCTTGGAGCGCTTGATGCGGAGTTCCTGATCTGCGATCTTCCTCGCGCTTCCTTTTCACCTGAGCCGCCGATCGAACAACGGCTAGAAATTTCTTCTCAGTAGCACAAGGTTATATAGCACCATGTGCTAGATTTCTAGAATGTGTGTCCGTATAGGACAAAAATGATTGGGGCCACCCCCTTTCTCTTTCCCTTTCACTTTGCCTAGCCTTGGCCAATATTTTCACCCATGCATGTACCTTGGCAGCGCCATCGCCTTTAACTTCGCCTACAACTGGTCATGAAGCCACTATAGTGAGGTCACCCCTCACAACTGGGACCTCCACTTCAACCATCCTCGCTTCAGTCGAGTCAAAATGGACCAGCAAAAGATAAGTCGATAGCGTTATAGCAGCGCCAAAGATGTAAAACTTATTTTGTTATTTTTGTAAAATTGTGATGTAATGAAAATGCCTTTTTTTTTTTGTTAAATAAAATCTGTTAAATTTTTGTGTTCTGTTTGTTCTTCTATCCTCTAGCCATGCCATGGTCGACACACAGCTACACGCCTGTAGATGTCTTCATGCCACCGACTGAGCTACCGGAAGCTAATTGTAACCCCCTTTCTGTGATTGTGCAGAAAAGTTGGAATATTCATTGCATTCCATCTTTTCTGGACTTTTTGCGGAAAGGAAGCGTTACATAAATTGGCCCGCAACGTGAGGCTTCGATAGGTGTTTGGCTTTGTCGACAAGTGGTTTGCTAGTGGAAGATTGGCAGACAGAACATAGTTTTCAAAA